AACGATCTATCTTCCCAGGCCCAACTCCCCCCTTCTACGCGAACACGATGCAACCATTGCGAACACGATGACTACTGGTCTCTACCCTTCCCGAACGCGACTACCCTATCCCGAACGCGATTGCCTATCGCGAACGCGAAATACTAAATGCCCCATCCCCAATTCCTTCAACACGAACGCGAGACTCCTTCCGCGTTCGCAAAGAAGGAAACCAGTAGCAGATTTTCTGCAAATTGGACTTAAATTCGGGTGGTCCGAAACACACCTGAGCTATCCCGGATCCCGTCCAAATACACCAACAGGTCCATAAATATAATACGGACCTGCTCGAGATCTCGTAACTCATAAAACAATATCAAAATGAAATCGCACCCCAAAATCAAATTAATCAACTTATGAATTTCAAACTTCTTCAACTAGCTCCGAATGCGACAAACCATACTTAGGCAACTCGGAATGACGTCAAATTTTGCATACAAGTCTTAATTCATCATACAAACCTATTCCCAGACTCGGAATCCCAAACGCACATTGTTATAACCAAAGCTTATTTCAAACCAAATTTAAGAAACTCTAAAACCTTCAAGGCGCCAACATTCAACATTAAGTGTCGAAATGCTTCTGGATCATCCGAAACTCGATCCCATCACGTGTCCAAGTCCAAAATCATCATACGAACCTATTGGAACCATCAAATCCCGATTGTGATATCATTTACTCAAAATATTGACTCAAGTCAAACTTGGCCACCTCAGGTCACTATTAAGGAACTAAGTATTCTGATTTCAACCCGAACCTTTCCAAAACTAAACTAACCATCCCCGCAAGTCATAAAATAGTAAAAGAACATATGTGGATTCTTTATGGGAACAAGGATCTAAAAAGCAAAATGATCGGTTGGATCGTTACAGTGGTTGAGATGATGTGGTTGGTGATGGTAGTTGAGTATGATGGTAGTGGGTGGTGCATGGTGGGTGATGGCGATGGTTAGCAGTGAATATCGATGACAACATTTTTGATAAAATTAAATCTTAATTATTTAGATTTATTTAGATCCATTAAATGGTTGTGAAATAAAAAAAATAAATATACTTTATGATTAAGATTTAAATAAGATTCATAGTTTAAAAATAAAATGAAAGATAATTAAGATTCAGACATCCTCTGGGAAAAAAGCAAATGAGCCTAAATGGCTAGGACTGAAATATATATAGAGTGAAAGAATGATAAAAGGAATTTTTTCATACCTATAAACTATTTGAAACTTTATTATCCTCAATATCCATGTTTAGCTAATTATATGGCATAAACAAGTTTTATTTACCAAATATATACAATCCACCTTAAAAGGCTCTCAGTCCATTATTTGTGGCTTCAATCAAGGAAAATAGTTACATCATTTCCTTCTTTCTCTTCTCTCTCCCTTCCTCTTTCCCCTCCTCTTCACATTGCCCCGTGAGGCTATATGCCCAGAGAACCTCACTCCATGGCTAAAGTTGCTTCCTTGCCGAGACAAAGCTGGGCTTTCTGCATTGATGGACAGACCTCGTTGGAAAATTCCTAATATGCAAATGTTATGCCTCTTAGAACCAACAAAACTGCTGCCATGTCATTCGAGTTGCAACAAATAACAGAATCGATGAATTAACAACAGATCTAGGAAATGTAACAAGTCCCTGCATAAGTAGCAATTCAAATTCATGAAACTAACATTTCTTAGCGATACAGACATTCTGGCGTCAAGAGACCCACCATTTGATCCAAGAGGGTGAACCTACATTTGTATGTGTATACTAAGGTAGACGAGGACAAAATTTTTTGCACAACAAGGATGTTCGACATATGACAGTACTGTTTCTTCACACCCGAATTCAGAGACCAACCTGCTGTATTAATTCCACAAGCATTACGCGAGCAGAGAAAGATTAGCAAACAAATAAAGTCAGAGCTAGCACATAGTATTCCCTAACCCATAAAAATATATTACATCATCTAATGTCCCAGCTCTAGTGCAGAGCTTTCCACTTAGAAATATCAGATTCTGTTTAATGTTGAAGGCAAAGGGAAAAAGAAAAAGAAACTACAACAAGCTATTTTTAAATTCCTATCTGTAGCATCTCAATACTGTGACTTGCAATAAGGCAATTCATAATTGTTTGAGCTTGAATTAGGTCCTACTGGAGCTCATAGCTAAGCTGTATAGTTGTATCTATTGTTTCACTTATTATATTTTGCAAAAAGACAATAATCAAATTCTCTATGTGAACCGAAAAAGAAAAAAAAAATTGGATGAAATTAAAAATATTTTTACTTAACGTTATGACTACAAGATCCTAGTAATAATATGTACTACTTTATTTATATTATTTCTTTTTTCATGAGGAGCTGAGAAAGTTCTATTTAGAGAATGGGACAGCGAAACTTATCTACAACTTTCATACATTATTTATATCAAGTTATATACAACTACAATATTATACCACTTAAAACAATTATTCAAAATTTATACAATATGTCTTTTGTACATTTTCATCTGATTTATATATATAGTAAAAATAAATTTCATACAACTAATTATATATTATACAACTTATCCACAACTTTCACACATTATTTCTACCCAGTTATATACAACTACAATATCATACAACTTAAATATAATTTTTATACAATGTTGTTCAACTTTCATACAATAGTTAAATAAATAAAAAAAATATATATAAACAACAGAATACAATTTTTCTACAATTTCGTAAATATAATGTATAACATGTCTTCTTCTTCTTCTTCGAGTTTCAATTTGAAATTCAGCCAAAACCACATCTAATCTTTACCAGGACCCCTCAAAATTGAGATATAAACTCCAAATCATATTCCTAATTGTTTGCGACAACACACAATCCAAACAAATAATGGTTTTTGAAAACCCAAATTCGAATTCAAAACTTCAAAGTTTTTTAATGGTTGTCAACGGTGGAATTGCTGCTCTCTTTTCTTTCGCTTTACATTATTGAACTTAGGGATTGCGAGATAGAGAGACGTAGAGAGAATTCCCAATTCTTTGCAACAACACTCAATTCAAACAAATAATATTTTTTGAAAATCCAAATTCGAATTCAAAGCTTCAAAACTTTTTAGTGGTTGTCAATGCTGGAATCGTGGGTGAGTGCAAGATACATGTGGGAAGGGGGGGGGGTATGTGGAGAGAGAAACATGAGGGGGAGTGGAAGATACGTTAGAATAATTTTAGGACACTAATTATTATTATTAATTCCCTTAAAATGTACATAAATGGTAATTGAGTATATAAAATGTAATTATAGTAAAACTTGAATACGAAGCGTAATATATTTTGATATAGTGTATGAGAATGTAAAAAATTTCATAGTGTATAAGAATGTAAAAATTCCATGATAAAATAGACCAATTAGTCAGTCAACCTTTTGGTCATTGTTTATTGATACTTCCATCTATTATTGTCTTTCACTACAATTATCTAGTGGATAAGAGATTATGCAATCTTCTACTTAAAAAGAGAGAAGAAATAGAGCAATTTGCTTCGTTAGCTTCAGGACACTTGTTTCTGTTTCAGGACTTCAATCACTGCACAAGAAGGTATTGAATTTCTACCGATACGAAAGTAAGTTGTAGTAGCTACAGATTTTAGCTTCAATTATCTGCATTAATGGCATTGCTCTGTACCATCAATAGATGCTGACTTTGTACGGGGTGGTCAATGGTTCGATTCGACCGATTATTTTATAAAATTTGTACCATATCAATTTTTCGATTATTCTATTGTGTATAACCAAATTTAAATTTTTCGAAACCGTCCCAATCATGTCGGTTTCTCTTCGGTATCGGTGCGGTTCGATTAATTTTCGGTATTTTTTTTAATATCATGTAGAATTCATCAATAGTTTTAGAATGCAATAACATTCGTTCTTTTATAGCACTTAACAAAACTATCTAGACATTTTTACTGTTCAAAGGGCGATGAATTAAAAAAAAGAAAAGAAAGATGGCTAGAGTATAGATCCATCAGCTATTCTACAACAACGTAAAAGAAATCAAACAAAGGCAAAAAAAATATAAATCGTACGAGTTGAAAGATATACCAAGCTGTGACTCAAGAATAAAGTCTATAGAAGATTAAATATTCAAAAAGATAAATCTAAATTATATGAAAGGAAACATATTTAATACATTGTAGTTTGCTACTCATAATCGCTAGAATACTTTGTGTCTTGCTCGTAAAGATACTTGAAATAACTTAGTTTAAGTAGAAGTAGCATAATAGGTTTTAGGAATTAGTATTTTGAGTTTAATTACTTGTTTGCTTGTAATAGTTTTCATAATTCCAAGACCCAAAGAAAATTTAATGCATTATTATTTTTAAACTTACTAAGTAATAAATATATTTTCCACATATAAAATTTATTCGGTACGGTTTGGTATTTTTTCGGTTTATTTTTATAAAATAAAAAACCTACCCTAATTATCGGTGCGGTTATAGATTTATATAAAAAACCTACAATTTCTTAATAAGAAATCTAAAAATCGGTTCAGTGCGGTACGGTTCGATCGGTTTAATCGATTTTCGAATATACAACCCTAAGTCTCCACATATGCAAGTAATTTTGTTCATCGCAGCTACTAGAAAGTGGGTCTCCTAAATTATAAGAAAATAAAGATATTCAACTCTTCGAAATAAATTATATTTCATTATTTCATCTGTCGTCCACTAGAGGAAAAACAAGAAAAAGATGAATTAATCAGTCTGCCTGATAGTAATTGTTTATTAGAAGCTTAAAATTTTATTGTGTGTCTTATAAAAGAAACCTCGTACAACTAATGTTAGAGTTGCATGAGACACAAAATAAAACTTATTATTAGAAGTACTTACTTTTGTTCTTTCACGTGACAAGAAGTGCAATTAGAAATGAACAAAGAACAATATTAGATGAAGTAGGAAAATATCAATTAATCAGTCTAGCTACCTTTTAATCATTGCTTATTGGTAGTGCTTTATTATCTCTCATATTGAAAGGAATGCAATGAAAAATGAATAAGACCATTTAGTCCTTGAGAAACTAGGTTGAAGACAACTTTCTTCATCACTTCCTCCAAACGGTGTGTTCTGATTCTCCTTCTTATGAACATTTGCAAATCTTAGCTTACTTTATTCTTATGCTTTGTTAGTTGCAGGAATAGCTGGTTCAATTTTTTGGTTCTTGGGCGTTTGAGGACTTCGTTCACTGTATTAAGGTGTTTGCCGTTGGGGCTTTATTTGAAGTTAGATTTCAACCAATACGAAAGTAAGGTCTCCCTCTTTTGTTTTTGTTTTTATTTTTGTTTTTGTTGGTCTTCTTAGTTCTTTTTCATATGTATAGTGATGTTAAAGTTTCAAACACCAGAATGAAACATCAACTTTTGAACCGAAAAGTTGCTGTAATCAACATGTTCAGTGATGATAGAGTTACACATCAGACCTAGCAGCGTCCATGTTTGCAAATTACAACTAGTCTTGAAACTTTGTAAAGGCTTTCACATGGTTGAAAATCCAAATCGTAAATTTCAAAGTTATAGAAACAGTTCACGGTTGTGACAACACACTTCTTTGACTATATTTTAGATTATAATGGAAGTTTCATCCCTCATTTGCTTTTTGGAAATTGGAAAACAGATAATTGTGAAGGTATCCATCTTCGTTTGGTGTATGGTTGCAACATTTAGGCCATTGATGCACTTGTAAAGAATAAGATGGGTGAAATTAGAAATACTGGACTATTTGATGTTTAGTGGGTAATGGAATCAGTAAAGTGCTCCGAATTAAGATAATGATTTATACTTGCAGGACTTATTAACAATTAGAGGAAACTGAAAAGGTGGAAAGGAGATGGCTGAGGAGTGTCGCGATGTGATAAGTGCCATAAACCTTGTGAAGGGCCAGCATTTAGGTAGAACGACCATTACTCAATTGGAGGATGCTACAAAGCACCTAACGCGTGTAGCTGTATTTCTCACGAATCTGGAGAAGCGCTACCCTGAGAATGGGATATCTGGACAACTTAGGCCCCTATTTCTAGAAGCTCGTGATGGCTTTTCTGAGATATGTTCTCGTTTTCCTCGTTTCAACCTTACCATTAAAATGGGGAACATTGCTGAGAAATTCAAAGCTTCAAAGGCATCAAAGCTTCAAATGATTTCAGAGGTGCTGAAAATAATTGAACATGAGACTATTGCTAAGCGAATCAGAGCTTCAAAGCCATCAAGATCATCTAGTCGAATCACTATGGAGATGGTGGGGTTTGTTGAATCTTTGCTTGGTTCTGTTCACCGTGCTCTGTTCTTTATTAGTGTAGGGCCTGCAGCATCTTTGCTTGACAAGAAGCTCCGACATCTACGAGTCTTCTTCACATTAATTGCAAAGCGGTGCATTGAGCATGAGAGTATGAAGGATCTCTTCAACCATGTTGAGGATGTAGCTTACACTGCTGCATACCTATGTTTCTTGGGGTCGAACTGCAATATGGATGGCGAGTTCTCTAAATTGCTGGAAAGGGTAAGTCGGCCCTTTAGCCCAGAATTGAGGCAGATTTATCTGAGTGCCTTGATAGGGTTAAAGTCATCAAGCTCTGAGACTACTACAATATTGAATGCCAAATATATGCTGGATTTTGTTAGTGCTCTCCGGGAGGATCTAAGACCTGGATGTGATGGTCGAATTAGGTGGCTCCAAAGAGGACTTTCTTACCTTTCTCGATTTCTCAGGGACGTAGAATCTTATCCCCTTCCACTTGGAGAAGTGATTTCTCTTCGATTAAATATGGAAGCTCTGGCCATTGGGGCAGCAAATGCTATCTACTCCTCCTATGATGAGCACAACACTACTGAAATAGACGATGTGCTTTTTCATTTGCAACTGAAGTTTAATTATGTCAAGGTGGAAATCGATCTGATTCGGCTACTAACCCGTCAAGCCGCCATCACAATAGGTCCTATGAAATCTCTGATTGACTATGTTTGGAGTGAGCTGATATTCTTTAGAAATTATTTCATGGATGCATTAAAGCAGTTTAATGAGGAGACTAAGATAACTGTTATTTTGACTTCTATTCAATCTGCGATTAGCCAAGCATGGTCAGTCTGTGATTCTCTTTGTCATGACTCAGAGCAAGAAGACTCTATTTCTAATGATACGGAGCAAGAAGACTTGGTCAGGGAAATGATTAATTGCTTGCATTTTCAGTTGCTTCTTAAATTCAAGTTTATTAAGGCAGCGATTAGACAGATGTATCCCAGCATTTCTGCATCATCAACATTAGACCATCCCACGATAAGTCTGCTGAACTTTCTTCCTATGAACTTTGAGGTTATTGATTCCTATTTCAGCATGCTGAAATCCTCCAATACATCATCCCCACATAGGCCCATGATGGATGAGGTTTTGATGGGGTTTCATGAATATATTCTCAAAAATCTGCTACTGAAGGATGAAACCAATTTGACGTTTACTATTGCAGGTGAGGTCAAAAAGTTTTATGGTGGGTTATTGCTCCTGGTAACATATCTTATTGAACCTCTAGTTCCTCACATTGAATGTAGGGAGCAAAATAATGTCTCGACAGGATATGGAACCATTGCAATTGAGGCGCAATCTGCTATGAGTTTATCTTATGAGGATTCTATGAATAGCAACAACTGTAGGGAGGTCAATCTTGTTCTTCAATTTTTGACTGTGGCTTTCTGGCTTATCAAGTCTGAGGGAAGCTTGATGGATATACTAAAGCACAAAGCCACTTTGGAATATCAAGTTCTGGATCTGATTGAGAGTGCTCGTGAAGAGCTTATTTTCATTAGATCTATTCTCATGGATCTTCTCAGGCAACACACAGAACTTAACAAATTGGATGATATCTTAATGCATGCTGAAGTGACTGCGAAAAAGTTAGCAATACTCAGTGATTCTTGTTATGAAATTTTCCAGGACGGAAGCAGCACTGACATAATGAGGCCTTGGTTATCTGATTCTCTACAAGAGATTGAGTCTGTCAAGGTAGAGTTCAGAAAAGTATGCTCTCAAGTTCTGGATGTATCACCTTTGACCATGACAGATGGAGAAGGCCTTATTAATTTCTTATTAAACCACCAGGACAAGGTGCCGAACAATGATGCTGCTTCTTTTAATGAAAGTTTCATGGATGGAAGCAGCAGTGAGAATCTGGAACTTTCATCATCTGATTTTCTAGGGGTGATTGAGTCTGTCAAGGTAGAGGAGGTCAGAAATGCATGCAATCAAGTTGTGGATGCATCACCCTATGAGATGCGTAAGACAGATGGAGAAGGCTTTATCAATCTGTTAACACAACAGAACAAGGTGCTGGAGTATGATACTGGTTCAATCTTTTTTCTGCATAATCAAATCTCAGTAGTTAAAGACAAACTATTGGACATGGGATCTTTACTTGTAGATATTGTACAGTACCGCAATATGCATCTTGAACTCAAAGATCTTGCTAAACGCGTTCAAGATAAAAACTACATTTGTTTCTTCTCCATCAAGGGGTATATTCCTGCTTGGTATTACACATTATATCTCTCTGATGTCAAGCAGTTGATTAAGCTTGTTGAGGCAGAGGTAAAGACGATTTGTCTGAAAGTTCCAGATTCTTCAAGTTATAGCTTCCCCAAGACAAATGGGCTAGGATTTCTCAATTGCTTTTTGGGCAAATTGGAGGAGCTTTTATGTTCTAAGCTTGATTTGGCTGTCGACTTAAATCATCAGATTGGATCAGTCAAGGAGGGTTTACTGTATCTAACATCATTGATTGGTCATTTTTCAGAAAACTATGATGAGCATGATGAAGTTTATGGTCTTATAACAAGTGTTACTGTATTGGCATACAAGGCCGAGTATGTCATTGACTCATGCTTGGCCTATTCTCATCCACTCTGGTACAAAGTTCTTTGGATTTCTGAAGTTGTTGAGAATATTAAGATTGTAAATAAAGTTGTTAGGGAGACTTGTGAAAGAAACAAGTTTGAGGTGACAGTGCATGAAGTTGCAAAGACCTCCACTAATCTTGCACCGTCGTTTTCAGATAATACTCAAAGAACAAACGAAGAAATGGAGGGTTTCCAGGATACAATGGACGAATTAAAGGAGCAGCTACTTGGAGGATCACCTCAACTAGATGTCATCTCAATCGTTGGCATGCCAGGATTGGGCAAGACTACATTAGCGAAGAAGATTTACAATGATCCAACAGTCACCTCTCACTTTGATGTCCATGCTCAATGTCTTGTGACTCAAATATATTCATGGAGGGAGTTGTTGCTGACCATCTTGAATGATGTTCTTGAGCCTGCTGATCGCAATGAAAAAGAAGATGGTGAATTAGCTGATGAGCTACGCCGATTTTTGTTGACTAAGAGATTCTTGATTCTCATTGATGATGTGTGGGACAACAAAGTGTGGGACAATTTACATATGTGCTTCAGAGATGTTCGGAATGGGAGTAGAATTATTCTAACAACCCGGCTGAGTGACATTGCCAATTATGTTAAATGTCAAAGTGATCCCCATCATCTTCGTTTGTTCAGAGATGATGAGAGTTGGACATTGTTACAGAAAGAGGTATTTCAAGGGGAGACCTGTCCACCTGAACTTGCAGATGTGGGATCTCGGATAGCAAGGCGTTGTAGAGGGTTGCCTCTCTCAGTGGTGTTAGTAGCTGGTGTTCTGAAACAGAAAAAGAAGAAACTAGATTTGTGGAAAGTAGTAGAAGAAAGTCTAGGTTCCCAGAGCATTGGCAGCTTAGAAGAGAGCATGTCTATAATTGGATTCAGTTACAAGAATTTACCACACTATCTTAAGCCTTGTTTTCTCTATTTTGGAGGATTTTTGCAGGGTAAGGATATTCATGTCTCAAAATTGACTCGGTTGTGGGAAGCCGAAGGGTTTGTACAAGCAAACAAGGAAAAAAGACAAGATGATGCCGCACAAGGTTTCTTGGAAGATCTTATTCGTAGAAATCTAGTAATGGGCATGGAGAAGAGACCCAATACCAAGGTGAAAACGTGCCGCGTTCATGATTTGTTGCATAAATTCTGCATGGAAAAGGCCAAACTAGAGAATTTCCTTCTCCAGATCAATAGGTAAAAAGTAACTATACTAATATAATTGTATTATGTTTATCCCAACTCTAATTTTCATGTGTTTTCTTTTATCTGGCTCAGTGGAGAGGATGTGTTCCCTGAACAGCTGGAGGAATACCGACTGTTTGTTCACTCTTACCAAGATGAAATCGATTTGTGGCGGCCATCTCGCTCAAATATCCGCGCTTTACTATTCAATGCAATTGATCTGGATAACTTGTTATGGCANATATGGCAAATGATTCATTCACAGTTACCATACAGCCTCCAGATTGGGCTAAAAGATCATCTCCTTGACTCATATCTGGTATGTTCTTGCCGTTTCATCTGAGTACGTTTACACTTATTCATTTTTCTTTTACGCCAGAACATATTTGTTTTGCTAGTATTATGCTTAGTACTAGTATTACTTAATACACGTATCAAATAATTAAGAAATCGAACTCATAACTTCTGATGCAATCTTAACTTTTTCTTGGGCTTATTTGAGATCAAAAGTAGATCTATGGTTCCTGTAACTTTTAATTCACGTTTTGATTCAATTGCCCTGGCACAGTTGTCAAAATGATAATATGTTATCCCTAGCCTAACTTATTATGTTTCCTTTTAAGTGAAAGCGATGTCTATGTTTCTATGAAGTGTTTTTGAAATTTTTGCTATAAAACTGATGAATGGCAGGCTTTGGTTTTTGTCAGCTCAACTCTTGTGTTAACTGCAAGTATGTTTAGGGGACAGTTATATCTTATTCAGACCACAAGTGGCTGAAGGAGAAGCTTAAGTAGTTGAACACATGCACTAGAAGTCGTATTTAGAATTACTGTGGTTCTAGAAAAGAGTTCTGCAGAAATTTTATGCTTTTTCAGAAATCTTAAGTTTCTAGTTTGAAACAGCAGAACTCTTTTGTTTCAGCAGTAACAGCAACTAAAGCAAAAGATTCTACTTCAGCAAGAGGTGTTTTGTCTTATTTCTAGAACAAGTGGAGTTATTATTTTGAATTCTTGCAAAGAAGAAGAATCAGGACAGGTAAAGATGATTTATTTTTCTATAACTATTTTTTTCTTTAATGTTATTTCTTCTTCATCTTTCCTCATCATCTTGAATATGAACACTGCAAAACATTTTAAATAAACTGGACAGGAAAATAAAATCTTTAATATAAAACATTACATGGAACCATCCGTGAATCCATATGGTACAACTGTTTCACAGAATGATAGAGAGGGAAGACAATCTATGCTTGATTCAGATTTCTTGCTGCATTAGAATGTGGTAAAATAAGACAATAAGTCAGAGTCCCCCTCTTGAAATGGAACAAGCAATCAGAAAAGCACATACTTTTTTGTGACAAACCAATACAAGCTGACTGTTAGTCACATCCTGGTTAAGTTAGCGTAGATAACGACTGTTCTTATTAGTGAGCTGGTTAACTGGCTCTAGTTATCGTTAGCTTAATGAGCTGGTTAGCTGGTGGATGAAATTCCACTTGACATTCGTAAGATGAAGGTGTATAATGGTGGTGCAAGTTTTAAATTCAAATGTAAGGAATTGCTGGACTGTTATTTTAATGCGACTTTGAAAAGAGTAAATGCATTTCTGACTTCAGATACAGTTCTACGGCATCCTTGGAAGATGTCAATGCTGTTTTATAATATGTTCTTATACAACCCGTTTGTATTTACACTCTTCTGTTCATTTATTCATCCTTTGTGGTCCTGTTGGGTGCATGCAGTCTTATATTATGAACAGTCAAGAAAGCCTTCTTTTATATTAGTTCCTTCAAACCAGAGTCTTGATAGCTTCATCTTTGGTGAGTATCAGACTTTGTTCTACAATTAAATTGTGTTTTTGCACAACTACTGAAGTGACTTTGTCACATTATTAATTCTGTTTTTAATAGGGATTGCAGAAGGTTTGGTCTACCTCCATGAAAACACTAAGACGAGGATTATTCGTAGAGATATAAAAGACAGCAATATCTTGTTGGATTCTAGTCTCTGAGTTAAAATTGCTGACTTTGGGTTGGATAGATCCTTCCAAGAAGACGAGTCACATGCCATCGTGAGGACTTTGTTAGTGATTCTCTTCTTTAACATTTATATTATAGCTACAAAACTTGTGCTCACTAAATAACAGCCAGTTAGGTTAATTAGTTATCTCAGCCGATGGTTATTTTTTCATTTTTTCCCTTCATAGAGGATATGGCGCCAGAATACTTGGCCATATGATTTTTTTCTATCGCAGGTTGATACTTAGCCAGTGGTTATTTTTTCCTACAAAACTTTCATTTTTTCTATTGTAAGTTGTGAACCAATTCTTGTATTTACTTCCAAATATATATATATGGACGTTTAGAAAGTTTTTGCTCATTGGTTTAGCTGTTGCCTTATATTGTATGAAAGAGGGATGGCAGCATTTTCAACATGGGAGAGTAGAGGAATTGTTTGATCCAAATCTTATGTTGTACAACTACCACATTATTAATGTAAAAAAGTGAGATTCTAAGCGTGGTACATGCCAGAATTCTGTGGACGCAAGAGGTTCCGGGATTAATGCCATCCATGTCCAAGGCATTGCACATGCTAGTAAAGAAAGTAGGAAGAGTAACCAGTACCAACTAATCCTCCCTTTATAGATGAGAAAACGGTGGAGAATCAACTTCAATTTGCCCCAATTTCTCACAGTTCTTTCTAGATGATGCTTCAGTGGCCTCAAACTGAGACGTAAAAAGGAATTTTTACCTCCTATAGCAAAGGTTAACACCCTATTTATTTTAAATAAATACCATTTAAAAAAATTATATTCTATAGATACCTTTTAATGTTTATAGCAAAATATTTAATTTGGTTACCTCCTAACCCTAAGCCACTAAATACGCTATTCAGTTACACTATTTTCTTTCTCTCTCTACTTTGATACATGCCATTCTCTTCCCCCCATTCCATGAAAACACGATGCTCAATCTCAAAATTCCTCACCCACATCACCTACGTTCTCTCCGATCCCAATTTCTCCAATTCCATCGAAGCACGCATATATGTTACCACATCAAATATGTTGACATATGGTTTCGACAATTTAAACAGAGTCCATTCAGATTTTCTGTGCTGCCGTAGAGGTTAGGAAAACATCCGTTCATCCAATCTCCGTCGAAAATTAGGCTGCCAGATTTTCTATGCGGCAGGAAATTAGGCTTTGTTCTCTTCCATTCAATCTCAAAGTTTGGTGGATCCTGCTTCACAAGCCCAGTTCTTGATTTTCTATCGTGAATTATCTCTGACTTTCTTCGTTTCTCTATTGGGAATTTTTCTGGGCTGATTGTTGTTTCTGAAGTTGGTGTGGGACTGAGGACATTGGGGTCTGAAGAGTCGGGTGTGGGATTGTATCTCCATGTATTTCATTATATTCATTGTCTTTTTTTTCATTGTATTTCAATGTATCTCGTTATATTCCATGTATTTCATTGTATTCACTGTCTCGTTGTATTCCATGAATGTATTCATATATTTTTTTTAATTAATATAATTTATGTATTCAGATGTATTATATAATTTCTCTGAAGATTGCTATGTTTTTGGGGTGTTTTTCGGTTGAGAATTTTTTTTATAACTGAAAATACACAATTTGTGTTATAATTGAGTTTGTTGAGTTATATTAGGAGTCTATTATGTTAATTGATTCATTTTCCATTTAAAACAGTGTAATCCCCTGTTTCATGCCGTGAATACAGTCGAATACAATAATCTGTCCAGCTGTAATCTCATGTTTCACGCCATGAATACAGTCGAATACACTCGAATCTGTTGCCTATTTTTGCTATTGTATTCATGAATACAGTAGCTTAAATACATCTAATACATCTTATAACAAGAGAAAACGTATCTACAATCCATAATATAGCAAATGGTATCTATAGATAGCTAATTACCACTAAAAGATAGTGCTTTATGAAAATTTCTCTAACATAAATCTGTGATAGTACAGATAGTGAATCCGTGCATCTCAAGTATCTTCTTGCCTCTTGTTCCTCTTTGCACACTCTGGACACAGATGTTTCGTTTGCAACAAGTTGCTTTTATCATTGTAATAGTGAAGTGTTTAACAAATCCTTGGGCAGTTTATTATTGTTACATAAGTGGATGGACATTACCAGGAGAGAAATCAGAGAGAGTAGACTGCACAATTAGAAAATATACAGAGTGCTATTTCTGCAGAATGGAGGTGTTGATTTTTGCTCATTCTGAATCATCTCTGTATAATCTTCTTCTGTAATTGTTGATTCTGGTTGATCCATTAGTCATTTCACTGAGCCTTTTCCTTTTTTGATTCATGAAGATTCTTGGAAGTATCTGCTTTTGGCTTGAAAATTACACCAAATCTTTACTAGAACGCTGAAGTTCACTAAAATCTGTTACTGGTTGTCATTCAGTTTTGGATGTTCTATCAAATAAGAAGAAGAAACAAGTGTGATAAATCAGTGATCACCTAAGCTATTGACCATTTGTTGTTCTGATTCTAATTATTATGTCTAGGTTTTAAAATGAAGCAGCTCTTGTTGTTGCGAGATGCCGCCTAGGCTTGGGCCATCATAATCCAACTCCACATATGTCTTTATCTAACAAATATATTTTAGTTTCCCAAACACAAAGAATTCCATGCCAGAAGGAGATGACAGCTCATTGAGTCTGGAGATTACAAGATTGACAAATGTTTTGGACTTGATGTTTAGGAGTAACTTTCAGGACTGGGAGGTGGCAGAGTTCCAAAGCCTAATTGATGTTTTCCATAAACAAAGCACAACACAGGATAGCCACAATTAGGGGTGACAAACGGGCGGGGTCGGGTCGGATATGAGCGAGTCGAAAATGGGTAATTTAAAAAAAAACGGATAAATTATCCGATCCGACCTGTATTTGAGACGGATAAAAAACGGGTTATCCGGCGGATAATATGGATATCCATATTATCCATGGCTTATTAAAATTTCTAGTCTCCCAAACTTGAGGAACCCCAAATTTGAGGCTTCACAAATATAAAGGTTAAACACATTAGTTATCCATTGGTTAACCATTTTCTAAGCGAATAATATGGTTTTTATCCATATTCGACTCGTTTATAAAAAGTTCATTATCCAACCTATTTTTTAATGGATAATATGGGTGGATAACTATATTCTTTTAACCATTTTGCCACCTCTAGCCACAATGTATGGAGGTGGGGGCCGGAAATAACGGAGTGTTCTCTGTTGCCTTTGATTAAGAAAAGCTTCAGTGAGGGAGGAGGTTGCCTTTCCGTATAGCTTTATTTGGATCCCTGAAGTACCGAGGAAGGTGCGCTTTTTCACTTGGTTAGTAGCAAGGGGATGATCTTGAGGGCTGAGAATTTGAGAAGAGGAAGGTTACCTTTATGTATAAGGGCTCGAGCGAAGATGTCGACAATCTCCTCATACATTGTCCGATAGCTTCGATGTTATGGTGGAATACCCTTAGATGGTTTTAGGCTTAACTACTGATGTTATGATCCCAAGAAGTCCAGGACCTGGTGAGTTATCTGCAGAGGGACAGGTGCTTTGAGCTTGAGTTTGCNAGCCACCTTTTCCAATGACCAAACTCTCATCAAAGTCGTTAGTTGCTTCCTGCAAAGCTGCAAAAGGAACTCGATAATTCTCAATAGGAACGCGATAATTCGAGTTTGGAGCATCACTTATGGAAGTTGTTCCCTTTGAATGCTTGCTTCCCATGGTGTATGGAGTGGAGTGCCACCGTTATCAGATAAAGGAATCCATATATCTTTTGACTGGGGAAAGCTGCTCCCGGCTATTTCCTGAAGCAAAATCAAATACTCGGGAGTAAATCTCATGATCGAAAGGTTGAATACAGATACTATTAAGAAAAAAATAAAATTATCCCTAACAAAGAGAGAACAATCGCAACTATAATAGAAGCTTCTAGATGAAAAAACACAAATACGTAAGCAAAACAGATGATTGAGGAAGCGGATTTTACCAGAACAGTGGAGATTGGAGAAGATGAGAGAGTGATAAGTCTTACTGTGCAGGGGGGCTTTGGATAGTTATTGTGCGTCTCTCCCTCTCATCTCTATCGGGGAAACTGTAGAGTGAGAGCACAAATAACAAAAATTTAATTCAGTAAACAAGCTCAACAATTCGGTCCAAGCAGTTTCCAACATTGATGCGAGATTTCTCCGACGTTGGCTGATTCGAAAACTCAAGAAACCCCAACAATGGAGGTTCGAAACTTTCTCCTCCCAAATGGTGATTCAAAAATTCGACACCAGTACCACAAATCCTCGAAATTTCTGAATAGAAAAGGAAAAGATAGAGAAGATGACTAAATTACCTTGTTTAATTGAATGTTATGGTGTAAATTTGTAGATTGAGCTTTATCTTTTTTATGGGAAAGTTGTTGGCGAATTGCTCAGACCAGATGGGGAAAAAAGCTTTATTTTTTTTTATTATCTTTTTTATGGTCTTTTCCTTTTCTTCCTCTTATTTTTTCTTTATTTTTGTGGTTGTTTTTTAAAATAATTTCTATTTTGGTTTTATTTTTGATAGATGGTACTTAGATAAGATTTTTCACAAAAACTTTACCGTTCTTACGCTCTTATTTTTTGTGTTAAACACGCACATGCCAGCTAAGCAAAATGGTGTGTCATTGACACACTTCTAAAAAGTTGGGTGTGTAAAAGGTTGCTCGTGGTAGAGAGGTGTGTAACATGAATTTGGGTGCAAGGTCAATGAGTAAACTATGTATTTGCCTTTGGATGGTTTGATAAAAATAATGTTTGGATAAATGAGTAAACTTTGATAATGTATCGTATCGTACTATATTGTATTATACCGTATAGTTTGATAAAAATAATGTTTGGATAAATTATTTGTCATGATATCATGCACATATAAAGAATAAACTTGTAATATCATAAACAAAAATTATGATACAGAGTAAAATTACTATATAAAAGGTATGGTAAATGATAAAATAAAATTATTTAATAATAATAAAGGGCGAGATTGAGAGAAAAAGACAAGGTAACGACGCGACCACACCAACTTGGTCATTACATAAAGTGGCACATTTCGTCGTTATGTAACGACAGATTTAACGATACGATACAATAAAATTTAAGTAACAATCAAAACAAACATCGTATTTAAAGTAACAATATGATACAATACAATGGGTAACAACCATCCAAACAAGCTATAAACTTGAGCAGTTTATCCACTGCACACTTCAACTCCTTGTAGTGAAAAATATTAATTAAATTAATTTGTGATCGAACTTGTTTGAACAAATTAGGAGCCCCTTTGGACATAAGAATTTTTTCAAAATTCTTTTACTTTTTTTCCGAAATTAGTGGTTGGCCATAAGATTTCTAATTTTCACTTGAAGATGAATTTTAGATTTTTTTGAAAATTTGAAAAACTCCAAAAAGCTATTTCACTCAGATTACTCACAAAACTTCAAAAATAACCCAAAATTATATTCATATCCAAACACGACTCTAATTTTCAAATACCATTTTCACTTGGAAATGTATTTCACTTTTTTTTGGAATTTTACAATTCTTATGTCCAAAAGCCCACTAGATCATATTGCTTTTATAAATTTCAATTGTCATCTTATTTGTTAATGTAATATACCCAATAATAAAATCGCTATTAAATTAAAAAGACTTATATAGTCATCGAATAACTTTTTTTTCTATATTTTTTTATTCTATTATCCAATATTTAGTATTTTTACATTCTTAATAGAAATATTGATTAGCATATTACTTTGTTTAATATTTTTATCTGCTCGCTTTCTTTTTATGATATAAGAGAAGATATATATTTTATTAATCTTGAAATATTTTTTATTTTAAATTTTTTTCTGTTGTTGTCAATAATATTATTTAAATTTTAATGAATAAAATTTCTATTTAAGGGACTTATATAATTATCGAATAACTTTATTGTTATGTATTTATTATTATATTATTCAATACTTAATATAATTGAATTGATAATAGAAATTTTTATTAGCATATTACTTTGTTTAATATTTTTGTCTTCTATTTTATTTTTGTAATATAATAGAATATATATATTTATTACCCTTAAAATATTTCTTTATTTTAAATTTTATCCTATTGTTCTCAATAATATTATCTGAATTTTAATGAATAAAATCTCTATTAAATTAAAGAGAGTTGCATAGTCATTGAATAATTTTTATGTTCTATATTTTTCTTTAGTATATTATCCAATATTTAGTATTATTACATTTCTAATCGAAACTTTTATTAGCATATTACTTTACTTAATATTTTTGTCTACTACTTTCTTTTTATAATATAATAGAAGATTACTTTCTTTTAGTAACATATTACTTTATTTAAATTTTTGTAAGCTGCTTTCTTTTTACAATATATTAGAAGATACATATTTTGTTTATTCTATTATTCTCAATAATATTTTTTGAATAAAATAAAATTTTATTTTTAAAAATAAAAACAAAAATTATTTAAAAAAACAAAGAAATTTTGAATTGGAATTTTTTATTCTTTGTAATTTTAGCTTTTTATTTTAAAATAAATTTTAAAACTCCAACTTGAAACTACTCTCCAATTTGAAGGGACAATTTTTTTAAATTTTTGTTTTTTATTATAAAATATTTTATTTTATTTTTTTATAGATATTTAAATTCAAAAATAATAACCAATAACTAAATAACTAATTATTAACTACTTAATCCATGTGGCTTTTTTCTAGGCCTCTGCTTGGCTTAAGAGAGGATTTTTTCCTCTCCTGGTAATAATATATAGATTTTTAGTATTTTTTATTTTGAAATAATTTAAATATTCCAACTTGAAATTACTCTCCAATTTGAATGGACAGTTTTTTTTTAATTTTTAATTTTAATATAACATATTTTATTTTATTATTTTATAGATATTTAAATTCAAAAACAATAACCAATAACTTATTATTAACTAAATAACTAATTATTAATTGCTTATGCCATGCGGCTTTTTTCTAGGTTTCCACTTAGCTTATAGCTTGTTTGGATGGTTGTTACCCATTGTATTGTATCGTATCGTACTTTAAATAAGATGTTTGTTTTGATTGTTACTTAAACTTTATTGTATTGTATCGTTAAATACATTGTTACATAACGACAAAATGTGCCACTTTATGTAACGACCGATTTGGTGTGGTCGCGTCGTTACCTTGTCTTTTTCTCTCAATCTCACCCTTTATTATTATTAAATAATTTTATTTTATCATTTGCCCTATCTTTTTATATATTAATTTTACCTTGTATCATAATTTTTCTTTATAATATTACATGTTTATTCATCATATTGCTGGTGCATGATATCATGAAACGATGACAAATGACACATCTATCCAAATATTATTTTTATCAAACGATACAGTACAATACAATATAGTATGCTACGATACATTATGACAGATGCTAACAACCATCCAAACAAGTTGTTAAGGAGAGGGCTTTTTTCTCTCCTTTTAATAATATATAGATTAGTTTTTTATTTTAAAATAAATTAAATACTTTAACTTCAAACTACTCTCCAATTTGAATGGACATCTATTTTAAATTTTTGTTTTTTATTATAAAATATTTTATTTTATTATTTTATAGATATTTAAGTTCAAAAACAATAATCAATAACTTATTATTAACTAAATAACTAATTTTTGTTTTAGTCAATCCGCTAGGCATACGCCTAAGGGTAGTTTTATTTATAACAAAATAAGACAAAATACAATGTCATGATATCCTATGAAATGAAAGGAATAAAGTTTGAATTTAACAAATAGCCTATTATCAAAATTGAGTGTTGCACTCAACATTGATATCACATTAATGCTATTAAACTTTGTAAAAAACAAGTCTGCATCCGAGATAACATTCCATTTTTGTTCGACAACATTTGTTGTCTTCCAGTCTTTGGTCGTGCCTTCTATTAAAAATTCCCGGTTGTTTGTAGCAATTCCAGCTTTTGTCGACACCTGTTTTCTCTTTTGTTTTCAAGACGCATACTGTAATTTTGGCCCATCCTCCCCTTGTCAGTATACTCGCATGCTTTCCTCGAGCCTCGAGTTACTTTCAGGTTAAACTTGGCGTGCAAAACTGTCGAGCATCCCTGTTCGAAATTTTTCCCAAAGACTCACGGGCCAGCTGATTTTGATACAGCTGCCAGCTTCCTGTTCGTGTATCAATATTCCATGTTGGACAGCTTCAAAGGCGTTCATGAAAATTGCTATCGTGCGTGATCAAACAGCATTGTCGATCCAGAGGCAGTTCTGTCCCCATTGTTGCATTCCCTGACCATTAGAGACAGCTTTGTGTTGTAAAATCCAAAAACACATGGGCTCCACATACATCTGAAGCATAAAGAATTATATCCCATAGTACCATCATCCTAAAGTATTGCATGCTTTTATGTATCCTAGATAACTTTCCATATGTATTACACCTTTCCATGTGATTCCTTTTCTAGACATCATGTGCTGTCTGCCATGCCTTCCACGTTACCCCATGTGCACTCCAAACCATTTGGCTTCTGATAATGTGCCTAAACTTCTTAAAAATACATGCTCATGTTATTTCCCATGCTATTGCACTATTTCTCTTTGTTGTGAGTCGTTTCCATGTATAATATATTGTAAAATTGCGAAAACCCTTCTTTAATGTCCTCCCAGTGGATTGAAATGCAATGCATTAATACCACCATTTCAGATTCTACCAAAATATTAGGCATTAGCTTCGATGAAAAACCTGCAAAAAAAGAAAAAATTTAGCCGAACATTGCTATCTAAACTCTCCTCCAGAATGATTCGAGCGTGATAACAAAATGACTCCTCTTTTCCTCCTAAATCCTTGCAACTTTTACTCTTATGTAAGGACATTGCATCTTATCTTCGTTAATAATCCTCCTTCCTTTTGAGTCTAGATCCCAGAAACCATGGCATTCAGTATTTCCTTCATCGAGGGCGTAATTGGCAAGATGGTCTGCTAATGTATTCCCTTCTCTGAAAAGTGTGTGACCTTGATGGTATTTTGTTCCTTCAGTCTTAAAATCTCCTTTACATGTTCAGTAATATACCATGGAGGCTTCCATGATTCCTCTATAATATTCTTTAATAACATAGAATCTGTCTACAGCCATATTCGGCAATAATTAAGATTTTTGCACATTTTCAATGCCTCCATAATAGCTACCGCTTCTGATTCATTGTTGGTTCCTTCAGAGATCTCCCTTCCTTCTGCATATATCAAATCACCTGCCTCATCCCTTATGCAAAAACTAATTGAACTCCTCCCTGGGTTTCCTCTACATGCTCCATCCATATTCACTTTAATCCATCCTCTTGAAGGAAATTCCCATAACACTTTATCATATTTCAGTCGAGGTGTGTATTGCTCCATCATTGTCAGTAAGTCCAGCCACTTGTGAGGCACATGTAGTCCTGGCTTTTTCAGTTGGACCAGCGATTGCAACGTAGATGACACCTGGTAGATAACTCTGCTCACTGACACTGCTTCTCCATATTTCAAACTGTTTCTTCTCTTCCAAAGTTCCCATACAATGCATGCAAGTAAAGCTTGTAACACTGGCTTCAATCTAGGTACTACCGGTGCTGTCCAACACTTTGTAATTGCTTGATGTAAAGACAACCCATCTAATGCAATTCCTGCTCTCCTCAGGAAGTATCTCCAAACACTTCTAGCTGCATTTGATGTGAAGAACAAATGAACTAAAGACTCCTCCTTAGGATCAGCACAACACCAACATTTAGATGGAATGGAGTATCCTATTTTACGCAAAAAATCATCAAGTGACAGTTTTGCTTTCCACACCTTCCACAGGAAGAAGGATATCTTGAAAGGTAAACCTTTTACTCATATCATCTTGTAAGCTAATTTTGGGTTGTCTCTTCTTCGCAGGTAATCCCATGCAGATTTTACTGTAAAATGTCCCCTTTTTTCAAGCATCCAGAAAGGAGTATCTAACTGTGAACTTTCAAATGGTGGTCTAATATTCTGCACAATGTGGTTTTCCAGATCTTCAGGTAGGCTCTCAAAAATTTTATCCACATTTCACATACCATTTTCAGCCAGATCGTTGACATTATGAATATCCTCATCGATACCAAAACCTGCAGGCACTTGAAAATATAAGGCCCCATCTCAGTCCAATTATCGAACCAAAATTGAGCTGATCCCATTCTCAGTTTCCAGTAGATTTGATGCTCAATCAAATCCCTACATTCTAGCATTTTTCTCCACACACGGGATCCACGTTTCCAAGGTACAATCACTGCATTTAGTTTCTTGCAGTACTTTTGACAAATAAATGAATTCCACAAAGTGGGCTTAGTCCTGAAATTCCACCACAATTTGCAGAAAAGTGCCTTCGATACGTCATGCAGGGACCTGAAGCCTATGCCTCCCTCGTCAAAAGGCATACACAGGTTAGTCCAAGACGCCCAATGTCTAGTGCTGCCTCCGACATTGCTACTCCAGAAAAACTTGGCAAAAATGCTATGTAATTTGTTGATCACATAATTTGGAGGATTAACTACTGACAACATATGAATTGGGATACTCTGCAGGACATTTGTGATTAGAACAACTTTGCCTCTTACAAACAGGAGTTTGCCTTTCCATGACTGAAGTTTGTCCATAACCTTGGTGATTAATCCCTGGTAATAGTCTCCCCTTCTTCTTGCATAAAAAATAGGACAGCCAAGATAGGTCATAGGGAAACATTGTCTTCGTATACCTGTAATCCTTTCCACCTTGTTAATCACCTCATTATCCGTTAAATGATACAGGTATGTGGCTGATTTGGTTTTGTTCACCAGTTTGACCAGATGATGATTCATAAGCTTGCAGAACCTCCATGACAAGTCTCACTGAAGTTTCATCAGATGAGTAGAAAATGATTATATCATCAGCGTATGATAGATGATTTATTTTTGGGCTCCATTTTGGCATTCCAAATCCACAGAAATACAGGTTAGTGTGAAGTGAATTCAATCCCCGAGAAAGTGCTTCTGCTGCTAGAATAAATAGAGTTGGTGACAAAGGGTCACCATGTTTAACTCCCCTCGATGATTTGAAGAAACCATTAGGTTGACCATTTATAAGCACAGAGTACCAATTGTTCCCAATCAAATCAAAGATCAATCCAATAAAAGCTTCAGGAAATCCCATTTTCCTTAGTGTTTTGGTCAGGAATAGCCATGATAGCCTGTCGTAAGCTTTTTCCATATCAAGCTTAATCATAACGTTTGGACATGCTTTTGTTCTCAACCTGATATTCGTAATGATTTATTGAGTTAACAGTACGTTTTCAACTATGCTCATGCCCTTCATAAAACCTGCTTGTTCCTCTGAGATTATGTTTGGTAATAATTCAACCAACTTGTCATGAATAACCCTAGAGAAAATCTTGTTAACAAAGTTACTAAGACTGATTGGTCTCATGTCTGCAAAGGTCATAACTTCTTTTTTCTTTGGTAATAAAACCAGGTTTGTGTGCGTAACACTCTTTGGCAGCCGCTGACCGCAAAAGAAAGCCTTGACCATTTGGACAGCATCTTCTTCAATAATTTCCCAGCATGTTTGGTAGAAGGCTCCAGTGAAACCATCCGGTCCACCAGCTGAGTCCCCATTCAACCCCATAACTGCTCTCTTCACTTCTTCATTGGAAGGCAATGCCATCAATCTTTCATGTTGATCACTATCTACCATTAAAGGTACATGATTTAGAATATCGAAATCATTTGGGACTGCACTCTCAGTAAATTGATCCTTGTAGAACTTTAGTGCTTCTTCTGCTATTAATTGATCTTCTTTAATCCAGTCACCAATGCTATTCTAGATCCTTGATAATTTCAATCTCTTCCTTCTCCCATTAACTTGAGCATGAAAGAATTTAGTGTTTCTATCGCCATCTTTGAACCATACCATGCCAGCCTTTTGTCTCCAGAATTCTTCTTCTAATGCAAGATATTTAATCATTTTAGCTTGGACCTGTTGTAATCTTTGTCTGTTTATCTGTGTAGGATTGACTTCAAACTACTTTTCATGAACCAAGACCACCTCATCCAGGCTTGCAATCTTCTGGAATATATCCCCATATGTAGCTCTGCTCCAGGTAGATAGTGCTTTCTTAAGCTTCTTTAACTTGTAGTTAAAAATACAGAAAGGGTTAGCACTAAAATCAGCATTCCAATTCTCCTTTACTAAATCTTTGAAGGATTCATGCCTAGTCCAGAAGTTAAGAAATCTGAATGACTTCTTAATTGGAGGAGTTTCTATATCACATTTCAGCATCATTGGGCAATGACCAGACCCAATTTTGGACAGGTGAGTTACCTCCAATCCAGGAAAGGTCTGTTGCAATTCATGATTGCCAAAATATCTGTCTAATCTTTTAAAAATACAGTCTTCCTCTGATCTTCCATTCCACCATGTAAATATGCTTCCTTTAAATCCCAAGTCTGTCAAGTTGCATGTATTTATGCAGTGCCTAAAGTCATCTACTTCAATGAGAGGAACGGGTAAGCATCCAAATTTCTCTTCCTCATCCCATATTACATTAAAGTCGCCTTCAACTAGCCATGGTACTGTCATATCTTATGCCATTGCATATAGGAATCCCATAGTTCAATACTTTCAATGCGATCACATTTGGCATAAACTAGTGTAAGGATGAGCTCAACATGTGTTTCAGTGTGCGTTAATCTCAAAGTCAGTTGTTGAGTCATATTATACAGAATAGTAACCTCAAATATTTCATCAATAAAAGCCCAAATCTTGTTTGAAACATTCACCACAGCCTGTGCCAAACCAATTCTTGCTCTATACTTCTCCATTTTGTGAGACTGTTGCATAGGCTCAAGGATTCCTATGAACTCAAAGTGATGTTTTCTGTGCATTGTAATCAGCCTTTCAAATGCTTGCATTGTATTTACTGACCTGACATTCCATATAATTGCATCCATTAAAAGTTTTGGGGTTTGGACAGTGTTCTCCTTGTTTGTACTCCACTGGCTGGGACGGTAGATGTCTGTTTTGACTGTTTCTTTTTTCCTTTTATTGCAAATTTTTCTCTATCAATAAGCCTTGGCGAGAGATCACCCTACTTGGCACAGGCGAGAGATCTTTTTTCCTTAATAACTAATTATTAACTACTTATGCCATGTGGTTATTTTTAGCCTGCCACTTGGCTTAAAGGGAGGAATTTTTTCTCTCCTTTTAATAATACTAGTACTAGTACTAGTATATATACCTGCGCGATGCGTGAATTAGTTCAAAGGGAAAAAGAGCAAAGAGAGATAATAGGAAAAGAAGTACATATAGCATTAGCCACAAGAAAGACCAAAATCCTCTCCGTTGTTGCATCAATTAAAAGCGTCATATGATTTGTTATTTTGCCTTTAAGAGTACGTTTGGAACATTAACACATAATCTTTTCTTCCATATTCTTGATAATGATATATTGCATAGACGCTTCAGATCATATGTCGTTATTGTCTAATATAATAACACATTCGAATAACATGAAAGGAAAGGTACACAGACATAGAAAATGCTCTCGGCGCACATTAGTTAAACATACGCCGAGCTCGTAGCCATGGCGAGAGGAAAAGGTAGAGGAAGGGGAAGACCTCGGAAACACCCATTAGCAGCACTAGAAGCGATATTAACTACAAAACAACCATTAATAGAGAAAAATCCACCACTAACCACTCCACCAGCTTCACTTCAGAGTTCAGCTCAAAGTTCAGATCTCAGCAAAGGAGCAGTTGCATGTGCAATTGGAGCAACTTCAAGTCAATAATACGTAGCTAAGAAGCTAGATCTGACAATTACATCTCCTAAAGAAGTAGTTTCAGAAGGGATGGAAGTGCAATCCAATGGAACAATGACTTCGCAAATTCCAATCCAGATACAGCGTGACCTAGCTAATAAAGAGGATGTTCCGGTAATGAGGAATGATCAAAAATAAGATGCTAAGGCCCCATGGAAAACACTTTTCCAGAAGAACAGATTTGCTTCTAATGGTATGTCACTTTCATATATACCACCATTGTTAGTAGATGGTGAACCTGTGGTCCAATTAGACAAGGTAGAGATGGAAGAAGAAGAATCTAAATGGAAATGTGCTTTGATTGCGTATATTTTAGGAGACGGACTAGGGTATAATACGATGAAAAGGTATATCAGTATTCACTGATCTTATGTTCCAGAACCTGACATGTTCTATCATGAGGAAGGTTATTATATAATCAGATTTAAAAATATGGATGATGCTCATGAAATCCTATGTGCATGACCTTATTCCATAACTAGTAAACCTATCATTCTAAATCCATGGACGCCGGATTTTGATTTTACATAGGAATTTCCCACTTCCATTCCTTTGTGGGCTAAATTCCCTAAATTACCTATGTCATGTTGGGGTGTGGGATCGTTAAGCAGAATAGCAAGTGTGATTGGAAAGTCTATCTTTGCTGATGAATGTACACCAAAACAAACAAGAATTTCATATGCCAGGATGCTTATTGAGGTTAATGTTACTAAGGAACTACCAAGTGAAGTGTAGGTGATGGAACCAAATGGGAAAAACTTCCTACAGAGTGTAACATATGACTGTAGACCTGCCTATTGTGAGAAATGCTTAGTAATGGGACACAGATGCTCAACTCAGGTCAAGACTGGTGTTCAAGGACCTCCTAAGAAGGGTAGAGTTACCCAAGAGTGGAGAACTAAAGTATCAGCTCCTGCTAACCAAGTAGAGTCTGCATAGATTCAAAAGCAGGAGGGACAACAAGATACTAGTACCAAGATGGCTGAAATTCAACAGACTAAGGAGAAGGCTCAACCAAAGGTTGATCATAATAATGCAAGGAAGGAAGATAGAGGGAAAGCAATACAGAGTCTAGAGCTGAACAATGTAAACTTTGCTCCATTAACACCTATTCTTGTTAGGAATGGATTTGAGCCAGTGGTTAATAACAAACATGACATTCCACCTAGTGATAGAGGTGGAACAAGTTATCAATAATGAAGTGGTTATTCTGGAACATCAGGGGTGTAAATAAAAGATATAAGCAAAAGGAAGTTAGGGAATATATTAGAAGTAACAAAATAAACTTGGTAGGACTAGTGGAAACCAAATTTAAAGAAGAAAATTCTCAAAAAATATTGAAGTATATTACACCTGACTGGAATATTTTGACTAACTACAGAGAAGCTAAGAATGGTAGAGTATGACTGTTATGGAACACTAATCTCCTCATGGTTACTAGTGTCAGAGATGACCCCCAAATGATCCACTCTCTAGTACAAAGCAGAAAGGGGGATACTAAATATTATCTGACTATTGTTTATGGATTTAATGGGCTAGAACAAAGAAGAGAATTGTAGAAGAATCTTCAACAAATTTGCTACAACTGTTACCGGCCCATGGTTGGTTGCAGGTGACTTTAATGTTGTATTGTATGCTAGTGATCGACTGTCTTGTAATCCAGTTAGCTTTGCAGAAACTCAGGATTTCAGCTCATATTTGCAGCAAACAGCTTTATCTAAACTTCCTTGGCAGGGTGAATACTATACTTGGACAAACAAACAACCTGGAGTTGATAAGGTTAGTAGCAGAATTGATAGAGTT